TGGACAAAAGATCTCTAACCTGATCCTCCTCCACCAAGGGAGAGTCTTCCTTTCTCCAGCCTTCCTCTCTTGTCCCCAAGGTCTGGAATTCCTCAGGACTGGCCTTAGCAGTGAAGACGGAAGCAAAGAAGGCATTCAGCAACTCTGCCTTCTCTGTATCCCTCATCACCAGGGCACCCGCCCCCTTCAGCAGCGGGCCCACATTGTCCCTAGTCTTCCTTTTGCTCTGGATGTGTTTGCAGAACCCTTTCTTGTTGTCCTTGACATCCCTTGCCAGATTGAACTCCAACTGGGCCTGAGGCTTCCTTGTGGCATCCCTGCACACTCTGACAACGTCCCTGTATTCCTCCCCTGCGGTCTGTCCCCTTTTCCATATTCTGTAGACTTCCTTCTTCTGTTTGAGTTTTGCCAGAAGTTCCTTGCTCATCCATGCAGGTCTCCTGCCCACTTTGCTCAACTTCTTACTCAGAAGGATGCACCGATCTTGAGCCTGAAGGAAGTGATACTTGAATATTAACCAGTTTTCTTGGACCCCTCTTCCTTCCAGGGCCCTACCTCATGAGATTCTTCCAAGTAGGTCCCTGAAGAGGTCAAAGTTAGCTCTCCTGAAGTCCAGCGTTGCAATCTTACTTGTTGCCCTGCTTCCTCCTCGCAGGATCCTGAACACCACCATCTCATGGTCACTGCAGCCAAGGCTGCCCCCAACCTTCACATCTCCAACCAGACCTTCTTTGTGAGTACAAGGCTTGGTGGCAGCAGGGAGCTGCAGGCACCCAGGGGTGCTGGAAACGAGCCAGGGGCTCCTGCACGTCTGGGAGGGTCACGGCAGGGGGACCTAGGGGCCTGACACCTGGCACTCGCCCAGAAACTGCACATGGGGACCCAGCCCCGAGGGGTAAAGGCCTATGTGGGGTGGGGGGGAACAGATGTGCACAAAGACACATGCGCACACGCGCACGCGCACACGCACACACAGCAGGGGGACCTAGGGGCCTGACACCTGGCACTCGCCCAGAAACTGCACATGGGGACCCAGCCCCGAGGGGTAAAGGCCTATGTGGGGTGGGGGGGAACAGATGTGCACAAAGACACATGCGCACACGCGCACGCGCACACGCACACACACACACGTACGCACGCAGGTTCCTGTGCTCGGTATAACCCAAGACACCACGCCCTGCTCTGTATTTGTTGTGCATGACCAGGCACGCGCGCTGCCAGCCACGCCACGGCTGGAGGCACCGCGCAGGAGCAGCCCCCCCGCGCCCG